GTCAATAATGACGATGTTGAGGCTTTTGGCAAGCTCGTAGATTTGTTCGATTTCACGTTGGACCTCGGCTGAAAGAGTAAATGTGTGAAAGGTTKGGACCAAGTCATAAAGGTTTTTGGTCAGTTCTACATTCTCCGACGGTGGGTTATCTTCAGATACTTCAGTTTGTGTGCAACTTGTAAAACTGTGCGAAATATGCAAATTGTATGATTTTGAACCAATGAGAAAGGAACTTTCCTGCCAACAGATCTTTCCAAACGCTTCATGGATGAAAGAAACAGAAGAACTATACTTGCAAACATAAAAAACGTATTAGAAGGTCGATTTTGACTGGCAAAAAAAATGATCTCTAGCGTACAAACTAGTGTCAAGATTGAGGGCCACGAGTTCATCAGTGTTTTTAATACTGTCAAGTGTTACCCTCTTTAAATAAAGTTCAATGTATTGTATTGTATTGTGTCGCTGCCCATTGTCAATTACAAACTCTACATACGTGTTACTCTTTGGCTGCTTTTTGTCAGTCCAAAGCCTTTTTCACTTGGATTGTTCTTGGAAGATCTCTTAGACAACCCTATGTCTGTATGTGCCTTGAAGATGTGTATTCTTCCTGAAAACCTCTTCTTAAGGTAGTTATATAACGCTTTGTGCATCAAGTCTGTGACCTGTAAACAAAATGGAACTTTTACACGACGRTAAAGATAACCTTGGGAAGATGTTGGAAGACGCGGCGAATATGCCGACACTTARAGGAACATTGATATGGAACATCAGTTTGGTTTGAACCCAGATGTCTTCACCTGTTAGATAACTTCAACGTAGGATGTTGAAACGTCAGGTACTTATAACAGTCTTTCACAAGACTTCTCAATACGATCATATCACACCTGCTTTAGCATTTTATGTATTTAACACTATTTTGGACTGTGTGGCTAGTACTATTTCACTCATAGAGCTGTTTGCTCTCAGGACTTTGCATTTTCACATTGTTTTGGTTTAGGATGTGGTTGACTCACCTCATATCCACGAAGGGACGGCCCRAGCACAATGATGGGCCTGGTAGCTGGGACAACTTCGTATGGTGGCATTGAGAATTCGCTGGACGAACTAATAGAACTCTGGAAAGAAATAACTGCATCAGGTAAAGATTTAAGAGAGCCTTGAAATGGGTGTTCCATCTTCATTAACTAGACAACAAATGTTCTTTACAGTTCCCTGCGCCATCTTGAAAGGTAGCTGTGCCTTTACATCAAAGCGACGTGAGCGTTGAGCTGGCAATCGTGGGAATCTGCGATAATTGGTAGTTGTGAAAGAAGATTGCCCGCTCACCGCTAATCTCGTTTCGATGGAAAGAGATTGTTACCTGAAGTTCCAACATGGTACAAGGAAGCATAAAGGAGTCTACAGTTGAGTCTACCCAATCCCATATGCAGAACCGGTCAAATTGAGATTGCAGGCTTTTGACAGCATTCCAACTTTCCGAGGCAAATCCAAATTCACACTTAAGATTKCCTCAGGGAACGGTTGTGTGAAGAGTTTGTAAGGTCATCTACTCCATAACAGTTGTATGGGATTCATTTACTAAGGAATCTTCGGATAGAAAACAGTCTTCACCCTTCGCACATCCGGCCCCAGGAACCCATCATTGAGTGAAGAGCTCAATAAATCAATGTGTAATTCACACTCTAAAGAATGTGTTTCAGACTTTCTTGCTGCAATTGTGKTTTGGAACACAAGCTAAAGGAAGCTCACAAGGGGATTTCAAGCAAGAAAAAAAGGTGATTAAATCAAAATGGGGCACTAATACAAGGTAATGTTATAACAATTATCTGCATATTATTGCATTTATTAATCTGAAGTGCAAGCATGTGTTTGRCTGGGTGTAACTTGTACATTCTCTAAGTATTCCATTGCAATGTGGAACCAGAATTATCGACGTTATGACAACTTGAGATAACAATCTTCAAGCAACTAAAACTTCTRTAATTACATCCAAATGTCTAGCGAAAGCAAGCAATGTATTGGTTGTGTCATAAGGTTATTATAAGAGCATCACCGTTACTCTCTAAATAGAGCAATTGTAGTACTTTTTGCTTGATATCAAACTCGTTATGTTGTCATGTGCTGTTAAAGGTTTGAATCATGACAACATTGTATGTATAGATCAGCATCATATTTTTAAAATCATTTTTCGATGACGTTTTTCTTTAAATATCCAATKTTTTCATGAAATATTTATTGGWTTGCGTTTTTAATATCACTGCATTTCCATTTCCGTCACAATTCCATGAARMATTTCTTCAAATTTCGCCCCTTTTCCATTATTAAACATTTTTTGCACATTTTGTTCCATAATCAWTTTTTCAATTTTCGTGCGAATAATATAAGTGTAATATGTGTGTGGAAAATAATTTCATTCCTAGTTGTAATAGTTATAAAGGTGAAACATTATAGAACCATAGGGATAGTTAGATATATAATTAAAGAAGTATGAAATGATCTTGACTAGACTAGTCGTATGCGAATTGCTGTTTTTGAAGCAAAAATACTGTCATCGATGTAGGTTATTCTTAAAACATCATTATTTGAAAATCAACATAATACGATATGTTCAGAGTTCTGCACATGAAGTTAACTAATAAGCTAACAACTTAAAGATTCAACTATATACCATTCGCAGCAGTTTTTCCTCAAGGGACATTTTGTGAAGCACTTGGCGTCAACAATTTTACCATCGACTTATCTCTGTTCCTGTTTGTGTTTCGCTGAGATCTTCAACCGCTTTTCATTCTACTTGTATAATTCGTTATTACAAAAGCCACTTGGTTTATCTTCCTTTCTTAATGGCTACACTTTCGACACAAATTATAGATTATTCATTCTAGAAGACTTGATCATATTTTAGGAAACATGTTTGGGGGCTTGCTGCTCGCCGTAACCACCTCATTTCTCTAGATTCGGTTCTCGAAGGATTGGATATTTCAACTCGTAAATTAGAAATGTCAAAGGGAAGAACTTTAATTCCACGCTCATTTTGCCTTCTTAATTATTCACTTCTCCCAAGAATCAATTATTTATTTTCGTAAAGATGGCACCGTTCGCATGGATAAGCTAGAGCCACGCCGCGTTCGCTATATGAGTCATTTAACTATTGGTTTCAGAACGCAAATTTAATTTAGGAATGATCAGATAATGGCAAGATAAAGTGGAAGCCGCGAGAGAAGACTTAATAGACTTGACCTAATAGAGAACACGAAACGATAAGAAAAGGGCAGAAACCGTTGAAATGATTATTGCTTTTTTAAACTTCCAGTGGATTCTCAAAGCTTTTCAGATAGTTCGAGCCTTGGTCTGAAGCTCAGCAACAAAAATTCGCAGTTTTTTTAATTTCCTCGTAGCTTATGAATATTTCTCGGATGATGCTTGAAGACTTGATAGATAGTGTGTCGCGTCCAAATAAACCTGCTTTCGTTTTAACTCCCTTGTGGCTTCATAACACGTTTCTGATACCGCGGATCTTGGTGTGATGTTAAAGCTCAAACAGCAGAACTGTGCATGTGATAAGTAGTATGACCTGGTTGCCTGCGTTCAGCCGAACCTAAACTGTCGTTGTCTGAAGCCGCTTTTTTGACTCCCTTGCTTCTTAAAACTAAAAAAAACTCAATATTTTTAACCTCAGTATTTTAAAACTCTACTCTGTATTTGTAATTGTACTTAATGCTTCTATTTGCCACAAAATGCCATTTTTTCTAATGGCGCTGTTTTAATTTAATGACAAAAATTTCCACCAATTTATACAAAATATTTTAATTTTTTTATTTTTTTTATTTTTTTTTATTTTTATTTAAAAATTTGAAAAGTGTAACTATTTTATCAGATAAGGTTGGTAAAAACTGTAGGTTTTAGAGTGAATTTTATTTTCCATTTATTAGAAGCCACCTTATATTATTGTGGCTCTTGCTCTTGACTTTTGCATTTTAGTAATTCTGTTTGTTCCAGAAGATGTTGTGTTTACGTGCTTTGAGTGACGTCGATTTCATTCGGTCGAGCGATTGTCTTAAACAATCATTGATTTTTGTTTGTTCCTTATGAAAATAATCGACGTTCATTGCCATCACATCAGGCATGGACTCTTTTAATCTTGTCATCATCATCATCATTATCATTATCATCATTACCATCATCATCATTATCATCAAAACATAATCATTACCATCATAATCATTATCATGATTACCGTTATTGCGGCATTTGGTGATTTCTATTTTTGTAGATATTTTAATCACAATGTGAAAGTCATCGATCCTATATACAGTCAACTCTCTCGTAAGTGACCACCTCGGGATCACGAAAAAGTGGTCATTTACTAGAGATGGTCGCTTACGAGAACGTTTTTTCGTACAGAGTGTATATGGGAAACTGAACAAAACGGGAAATTTTAAAGGTGGTCGCTTACCAGGAAGGTCGATTACTAGAGTGGTCGTTCAAAGAGAGTTAACTGTATTCATATTCTCTTTAAATCAAACGCYACAAGACAGTTTCCTGCGGTTCTCACATCTCTAACTTCRTCGCATGTATTTTTAATGAAATATGACTTGAGGTGACTCATAAAGAACTCTGCATGAATAATATATCACACGTTATTCTAAGCAAAGAGCGAAAAATGATTCACAAAAAACACATACACGAATCCCACGTGATCTTCCCACGTGATCTCCAGTTAAAATAGACACAGGTTTACCCTAATCCCTTGTAAAATATATAGTGTTTTCTCGTGATGGGATTTAAGTATTAGAGACTGTTTTCACAGTCCCATGAAGACCGCTTTAAGCAACTGAACATTGTACAAGATTGTTTTTATTTGAYAAGTGTGTCGAAACAGCCATAAAGCAGACTGCAGTCAAAAACTACAATTAAAGTATAAAAAGTGTGGTCATGTGCTCTTTCTGAGGTCGGATTAYGGGCTATTACAAATAACCTACGATTAGGGAGCCAGTCACAATGAAGTATTTGTAATGGCTCGCAAGTTGATGAGCAAAAATRCACCTTGTGACTCCATTTTCTTCTTGTTTTGATTTGAGAGTTTAAAATGTGCATATTAAATCATTTACTCGCTAAATGACAAATGTCTAAACACCTCAAAGTATAATCTATGAGCCCCTTCTTTCTAGCGAGAGTTGTTTATAAGCAAAAGACTATTGTAAATTTTGAAGCGCAGGCTCAACTGGTAAAACGAGATACCGCTTTACTGAAAATCAATTTTAATTTCTTTCCACGAGGGGCGATATTGTCTCGAATTTTTGATGTTTGCGATAAGGATAAATAAGATTATTTGGCGTTGTTATCAGCACGAAGCCAATTGCTGTGTGGGGGAGTGAATTGAGGAATTCTTCCGACAAAAACAGACGTCACTAAAGGTATTTCCGTCTGTTTTTATGTCTGATTGGTTTATATTGAATTATCTCGATTGCTACATGTGCTAAGAACCACGAGCAATGACCATTGAATTTTAAATCAAAAAAGCTTAACTATGCTATAGACAGAAAGTAAATTAATAAAGGAATTTTTCCCAGTATAAACTTTATGAAGATGTCTGTGTATATTATCAGTATTTTACCTTTGCCAACCTGGATTACTTGTGTCTTCAATTGCAATTTTGGATAATGATAAATAAGCTTAACTTTGCGAGAAGTCTCGAAATCCTACTGAGCTTACGTACAAGTAAATTGACCGTGAGATTAGCTTAAAGGAAAATTGCGACTTCCTAAGTCCTTTTGATTCGTATTCCTTCAATTGCTAATGATATACAATTCAGATTTAGAATTAGTACAAATTATACTTTTAAGAATCAAAAATCCGATGAATTTATCTTGCGAAGGACGCCATCTTGGATGACACCGAAACTAATTCTTATTCAAAACTTACTGARCAAAAGATGATATAAATTRAAATTTTCTCAAAATCACTTACACGTTTTGCTCASAAGATGTATATGTGGATATTGACAGCTTTTCAAGCGATTGCCTGAAGCGCGAAATTCAAGATGGCGGATACATTGGCAGAACATTATCTTAAGCTGTAGTTTTTAATCTAAAGCTCTATACATATCAGTAATGTT